ATTTGATTTTTTACTTTTTTTTTTCTTTGTTTATAGATGGAACGGCGACAGGTCATATATTAAATGTTTGGACACCTCAGTCAACTCACTTACCTTTCGGACACTACTCATAATTCTAATATGTATGACATGTTTTACAAATTTTCTTTTTCATAATTCTGACATATATTCCTATGCTTTTTTTTTACTATTTGTTTTATATTTTTTAACCAATAATTAATTTCTAGTGTTACGATCTTCAGCTGGTTAAATTAATATTATTGGAATCAATCTTATTATATTGATGAAGGAAGAAAAAAAAGTTATTTAAATTCTTGTTCTCGATTTTTAAATAATGAAAGACTATAAGGTATATTATAAAAAATAACTACGTTAAAATGCAAGGATCAATAATTATATTTCAAAATATTGTTCATTATAAAGTTTGAAACTTCATCATAATTATGGCTTTAAAATACATTTTTAAGGATTAAAAGAGAAAAATATATTTAAATTACTTTTGACATGAATTTTTAAGCCATTTAAAACTATTAGACGTATTTCAACTTCTAAATTATATGAAATTATTGAATATACCGAAATAAGTCTCCCAAAAAAAGACTAAAAGGAACAGAGATTCAAATTGGAATCACTTTCTATTTCCTTAGTTCAAGACTAATGGAATAGTGGTTTCGTTGTATATAGAATTTCGTTTTCATCCTTAGCCTCAAAATGTATTTAAATTATCTTTAGTGTCAATCTCTAAATGATGTGAATTTACTAATTGTACTGGAACAAATTATAATCAATATTTAATAAAAACGAAAATTTATATTTAGAATCACTTTTTCATTTTTTATACTTGAAGTTGAGAAAAAGAAATTGGATTTAAAATCTTATCTTCGTTCTTATAATACTATAATCTCAAGTTTATTGAAATAATATTATTATAATCAATTACTATATTTAAATTTCACTTTAAAATTAAGAATTCTATCACCATTTTATTATTAAAAACATATAAAAAAATTGAAAAAATAATTTAAATTATCTCAACTCTAAGTAATGAATGACTATTAGTTATACCAGATTATATAATATTTTACTTTTACTCAAAAGAAACTCATTACTTTACATAAAATCAAATCCAACCAAAACTTACAACTTATTTAATGATTAAGCTATAATAACATTAAATATGGTATAAATTAAATATGTTATAAAGATAGATAACGAGAGTCTTCAATATTTAACTTGTATCGTAATAAATAATATGGTGGCGTGGCGTATATAATAATAAATACTTGATAATATTATATTGACTGATAACTATTACTGTATCATTTTGTAATTTATTATTATTATTTTTAATTACTTTAATGTTGTGTAGTAAATCTAAATAATATATTCAATTTGTATATTATTATTATTATTGTTATTAATACAATAAAAATGAGTAAAAAGTTTAATATAATTGTAACTATATAAAAATTATAAATAAAGAATCTTCTTTTATTTGTTAAAATTTTTTAAATTGATCAATAATTAAATTAAAATTAAAATTTTTAATTTTTTTATTGTAAATAATTATACTGTTTGCAAAAAATTCCATTTCTATTCTATTTTGTATTTTAGTTTTGTCACTCTTCATTAAAAAAATGTGTAAATATAAGAATAAGAAGAATTAAAATAAGATGAGTTAAAGTATTGATAAAACAAAATATAATTATTGTAATTAACATTCTATTTTAATAGTATTTAATTACTGTTGAAATTTATCACACATTTATTAACAAGAAACATTTAACTTAAAAAATACACATGATACTATTAAAGTTATCCTAGTATAACTATAACACCAAAATATATATACAAAGATATTTTGATACTAAGAGTTACATTACAGTGAAGTGAAGCCAAAAGTATAATGGAGTTTTACAAAAAGGACTAATATATATAAAACTAAACATATTATCATATATTTATGCACCCTTATCATCTAATACTTAATCAACAAAGACATCTTCCTCTAAAAGAGAAGACAAACACACAAACAAATAAAGATAAAAGAATAAGCTAATTTATCAAAAAGAGTGATCATATAACAGAAAACAAAGATATTAATACATATACAATTTATATCAACCAATCCTAACTTATACAATGTAAACACCATTAAACTTAAAATTAAAAAAAAGTATGAAGAAGCATTTACCTGTATAAACATGATGTCTAAGAAGAGAATGAATATAAAGAGAAGTTAGATCAAGTGATTCAATTGCAACTTGGTTCACCTGATTTCTACCATGAAACAATTGATGTCATCTTATTCTCCTTTTAATTATTTTGTTGAAAATCAAACTCACAATCTTAATTATATTATTAATTTTGAACTGAGTTTTACCACTAAATTAGAAGTTATATGTGATAGTTAAGATACAATTATGAACCACCAAAACATTACAATTTGATTGTATCTTAACCCATTTGACTTTTGTTAAGAGACGATGAATATCACTTGCAAAAGAAGAAGAATATTTACCTAATAATAATCATAAAAGGAAATTCAATATTATTACTATAGAATTGACAAGAAATAAAAAATAAATGTTTAAAAGAACAAGGTTGAGTTTAACGAAGGAATGGTTTCATGTAGAAAAAGATAATGATAATAATTGCAAGTAAAGTAAAATAAAAAAATAGTATGAAAAAGAAGATAATACAATCCAAGTAGATTTTTTAAATAAATAGATAAAATTTCGGTCAATATTTAGTTATCTTCATTCTAGAACTGAAGGACATAATATTAATTAGTTTTTATGTTGTTATGAGATTCTTGTGACTATTTTCTGGTGATAAAAGAATTTGAGAAATTTTTCCTGGACACTTAAGGGAAATAGACATCAAAATACTATGAGATTACTTTCTACACCACTCCACATTGCTTCCTGTAACATCATATTTTAAAAAAATTCTAAAACTATTCTTTTATATTTTAAAAAATCCTACATCCCCTCTTATTTTCTTCAACGGATGTCGAAATCCGTTAACGAAAACGGATGTAGCCACATCCATTCAAAGTTTATGTTCTTTTTATTTCTTTTTAATTTTTAGTTTATTAATTTATTGTATTTTAAATTAATATATAAATCTTATTTATTTTTTTTAAAATTTATTACGTAATTATATATAAATTTATTTTATTTTATTTAATGAAATAATTATTATTAATTTAATTTAATTATATTATTTTTTAATTAATTATGTTAAACGGATATGCCACTCCGTTCAAGTTTTTTTTTAATTTTTAGTTTATTAAAATATTATATTTTAAATTAATTTATAGAGTATTTAATTTTTTTTGTTTTTTTATAATATATTACGTAATTATATATAAATTAATTTTATTTTATTTGATGAAATAATTATTATTAATTTAATTAAATTGATTTTTGTTTTACTTTAATTACGTATTATTCATTATTTAATTGATTATTTAAATGTTTTTATTTGATTAGTTAAACGGATATGCCATATCCGTTCAAGGTTTTTTTTTTTAGTTTATTAATTTATTATATTTTAAATTAATTTACAGAGTATTAAATTTTTTTGTTTTTATATATATAGAAATAAAAAAATTATTAAAATAAAATCTAAAGTAAAAACAATAAACTAAAATAACAAAAAAAAATTAAAAGATGTAACCTTCTACAGATGTGAAAATCCGTTCACGGATATCAACATCGTTGAAGATAAAACGAATGTTGATATCCATTTTATTGGAAGGACAAATTAAGTATACGGTGGTGCAGGGAGCATTTGGTGGTGGTGGAGGGAGCAACACTCAAATACTTCACCCTTAAATCCACTTTCTTAGTTTAGTCCAGCCTTAACCAGAACAAAAACTAAATTTCAAACTTGAAAATTAAACTAGGTGTAAGTATTAAGAAAAATAGAAATGTTGCAAATATATGCTCAAATACCCGCAATTTTAATTAGAATAAGTTAGTTTTTTTTTCTTTCAAATTTTGGATATTGATAGCAAAAGGTAATGATATGATCTTATCATTTAGATTTATGAAATTATTAATTTAAATTTAAGATTAAGGTAATATTAGTAGGTGAATTTTTTTTTGTCGGTATGGGTCCTTCACATAATGAAAATAGATAAATTTAAGCTAAATTATAAGTATGGAAAGAAAGATTGGGTTGAGTAGACCAAGTCATGAAAAATAACATCTTTTACTCTATGCAAGTGTTATCAACATCCTTAACTCTTAAAACTAACAAAATGATCATGTACAAGTTTATCATATCCGTGAAAAAAATTTGAAGAGAACACCTAGTGACTCGATAGGACATTTTGGATATTTTGAATGGTTTCCTTGTGAAGGTACATATCAAACAAGTTATCTCCAAAACGTACATTAGAATGAGCTTTTAAGAGCAATCCATCTCCGTTGAAATCGATGATACCTCAGACCAAATAAGATTAACTTATTATCATAGCTTCAGCTCCGCAAGCAATGCATTCCTTACCTCTATGTAAAAAAGAAAATGTGAAATTAAGGGATAAAATGTTTTATGATTGAAAATTATAAATTTATATAATCATTATTGAATGTTCTATACAAAAACATAGAAAGCTTTTAACTAGAAAGTAGTATGAAAAAAACTCATGGTAGGCTTTAATTAGGAAGTATAGACTTCTCTATACTTAAAAACACCACCAGGTACTTGTCATAGGCAAGCAATTAAATCCAATTTAAGTTTTCTTTATAATTTTCTTCTCTTGTTCTAACAACTTCGTCTCTAAATCAAATTGCAGACTCTAGAGAATACTTCAAAATGTGAAAGTCGAAATATTTGAAAGAAAAGGTTTATAGAAACTAATTGTTCACTTGTTACTATGCATTCTTTTATGCACAGGGGTAGTTCTCAGTTATTAGGTAAGCACATTGTACAAAAGAAATCTGTAACTTGGAATTTTAAATCCTGATAAACTCTTTACAATCAAGCAGCAATTGAAGTTAGAAACATAAAAAAGGGATGAGATTGTTTTTAGAAGGTTGAAAAAAAGAATGTCCTATGTTTAAATGGAGCCAAAGGAGAAATTTTACATTGGCCAAATCAAACTTCCTATAAAATAATTTGCTTTGACAATCAAGCTTACAAAATATTCTTCATACTAGTTGTCCAACCAAAAGATTTCCTTTTTGTGCTCCGGGGGGCAAAATTGAGCCCAAACATCTCCTTGAAAGCCTGATCTGGCTCTACTGAACCAACCAGCTTTGCAACAATGGTGGCACTCTCTCTAATGTGGTCTATGTCATCTGTTCTTGACCACAAGCGATGGGACAGCTGCAACCTTCTATGCTTTGAACTTAGACTAATTCCCCATTTAATATACAAGTTTTCTCTTTCAGATTTTGACAGCTTCTTCTCCATTTGTTTGCTCAACATCTGTCTCTCAGTTCTCAGATACCTCTGGCTGTTTGCAAAAGAAAGGCATTGTAGGTTTTGCAATTACAAAAAACGAGAAACTTGTTTAAATACAAATTGATAAATCTTTTTAAAGAAGATTAATGCTTGAAGTCTTACCTTGTTTCAGCGTTAAGGATATATCCGTCTTCCACAGTCTGATTCCCTTTGGCAAAAGTTTGCTTGAGATAGAACAACCTTCTTAGCTCTACTTCCATATAGATAGAATCTGATGGGTCTCCTTTGAATAGAAGGAAAAAGTAAGTCCTGTGAACCAATGAAACATGACAAGCATGCCAGAGTCCAATAATCTCTTTCTGCAGCCGCTTAAATTCTGAAGACCATTCTAACTGTTTTTCTTCCTCAGATTGTAATGGGTCCAAACCAACATCTTTGAACTTCTTTATAGCATTATCCGACTGCAAATCAGTCGCTGGAACCTGCCATGCAAAGTAACTCCGAATCACTGGTTGAATTTTCATTATAAAAAGGGTTTTATATAGGGATGCTACTTCCATCACTTGCATGGCTAACCAAAATACAAAACTGAATCCGTATAGTAGATTAGAAGCATTTATAGTTGGATCAAAGGAAGACAAAAAAAGGAAAATTAAGGAAGAAATATGAACAACTAGATGCATACCTCGGGGTTCGCTTGCAGATTTGAACTTCCAAGATCATCTTTTTCCTTTTCTCCCGGTGGTAATGAATTATCGTCACACCTTTCGTTATCAATGTAGGTTTTCGTATTCTGTATATCTGAAGTACTTTCCAGGGAATTCTCGTGATCATCCCATGATAACCTCTCAGCATTTGCATTATAATTGAGTGTCGAAGTCTTCTTCTGAGGGCCCTCCGGTGTTCCATTGAAGTCTTTTTCGATTCCTATTGGGGTTGTATTCTGAATCATTTCTTCTTGGTCAAACCAATCTGAAGATGTATCTCTCATGAGAGTCGCTTTACAACTTCTACTTCTGGTTAATTTCACGGTTTTAGAACTAGATGCACCACTTTGTGTCAGCGATCGAGATATTTTCTGTGGAGAGGGAAGAACAAAACGTTCTTCTAAGCTGTTTATTTCTTTGTTGTCCTTTAGACCAGCTGACCACAAATCTGGATTTTCTTTGTCTCTGTTATCAACTTCGGTTAATCCTGAGACGGTTGGAGATGATGCAACAGACTCTGTGTATAAAATTTTACTTATATCTGCTGAATTTGAATGTTTATGGGTGTTTGTAATTATGTCTTCTGACCCAATGCACCTAACTTCCCTGCAACGTTCCTCTAAATTATCTTCGTGCTGTTCAACACTTTTCTGATCCAAATCATTCCTTGCATCATCAAAACTTTCAACAGAAAGCGCAGGAGAAGAAATCCTGACGGGAAGACTCTTTTCCAAATCAGGGAGTTGGAAATAGTTCTCATCAGAACTAATGCTATGTCCATCTGAATATTGAGATGCATCAAAAGATCTGATACTCTCAATGCAGTCAAAACTTAACGAATTTGGTAGCTCGGCAGTTCGATTTTCAAAGTCAAATGAATTTCGCACACGTAATTTGGGATACTGATGACCCAAACTGTCCTGGATATTGGGTTTGAACATAAAATAAATTAAAAAAGAATGACAATTACTACTTTTAATGCTTTAGAGTAGGCAAATACAGTACTCATACCAATTCACTCGAGGACCTATCATCTCCAACCACTTGAATCATATCCTTAATTTGAGATTGAGCAAGGTCCCGCTGCATCTTCAGATCCATTACCTCTCTCTTTAACTGCAAGAACAGAGGAACAGCAAGATTCATATTTACAACTTAAAAGGGAACTTAAAAGTGAAACACAAGCTCAGACTTCAGGAAATTATAGTGCCCTCATTCCCCATATATTCTAAAACTCATCTGCTGATTGGGCGTAAATGATCAGTAACTACACATAATAGTGGAAAACATTTCAAGTTATCTCACCAAAATGCATTTTTTCATACATAAAAAGACCAACTGAAACTAGCTGTTCTGTGAGCATTTCAGGGGCCCTTGTTGTCTAATAAAAGCTTTACAACAGGGAAGGTGTGGAATAAACCCTGAGCTGCAGAACATTACAGGACTAGTAACAGATAGTTTAAATTAAACAACAATCTGGAAAGAACCTACTACCTTATAAACAGCGCAATCTACTTTTACCTTTTAAGGAAATGCACTTACATGATGTAACATTATGGTGAACATATTTCATTAGCGTAATAAATTCTAATTTGACAAACATAACGAATCTTTGTTATGAGAATGTTGATCCTTACCATCTCAATTAGGAGATCTTTTTCCTTCAGCAATGCTGACGTATCAGGTTTCGTTGGCCTTAAGATTTTCAACTCACTTTCCAGTCTAGCCAACTCTTTTTGCAGTTGCTTGACCAACAACTTATCAGACATCACTACGTTGACTTTTGCATTGGTTGTCACTTCTTTAGCACAACTAGCAAATAAAAGGGTGTTTCTGGTTTGTTCAACATGGCTCCTTGCAGGGCTCATGGTGCAGATGATTGCAGTTTTAGCATTGCCTGCTAACGAGGACTGCAGTATGCGGGTTAGCTTTGAATCTCTGAAAGGAATATGTCCATTTCTCCCCTTGCTGCCGTCAAATTAATTGTTTTTAGGGTAAGGCAGTGTTTCTCAAAAATGAGTATAAAAGATTCTTAATATATCCAAATATTGATTATATTGACGCATTCGGTAAGTTCATGAAAAAAAAAAGTCCGAAAAAGTTTTATCTCTTCATAATCCCTAAAGTGATAATTGTAACAGAATCAGATGGCCAGATTATTGCATAATAATAATGTAAATTAACGATTAAGTAGTGCGCTATAACTTTGGGCATTAAATGGTAAATATTTGGGTTTCTTTCATTGGTTGTCAATATTTACTATCTATAATCTTTTTGTACCACAGGTAGAGTATATCTTTAAAAACAGAAAAAACTGACCCGTTAATCTATATGAAAATGCATAAAAGTGAACAGTGAAATGACAGATGATGGAGAAAAAAGAGAGGCGACAGAAAAACATTATGGTGGTTTCCTTTTTTGTGTTAATATAGTTTTGCAGGTCCTGCCGTTAGAAAGATCGGTAAAAAATAATCACCATAAATTTGAATTTTGAAGAGGGGTTAAGAAATCACCATATTCCATAATAAGAAAAGTAACCTCATATAGCGAAAAAACTGTATGTTTATAAAAATGAACATTCTTCCAACTTCTTTAAATCCAACAAGTATCTCTGCTATTTCAAACTTGCTCAAAGGTCGGCTGCTTGTGGGGTAAAGTGCTGGATACGGCTAAAAGTATATGGAGACAGTGTGCATTTAGTTGAGTAAAATAAATATTGAATGCAAACTTCATAAGCTAACCTCAGTTTGCGGATGACAGTTCCTAGAGTTAGTAAACTACGATTTATGTGGCAACCCTCTTTCAACCTAGTACCAGCTGAATTAGTTTGGGACGCCCGTTCACTCCCAGCAAGATCGACGAAATTCTGTACCCGGGGAAAAGATTTTTAGTTTTTCAACATAAAAAAAGTAATTTTTCTATATTTTTCTGTAATCTGAGTGAATCAGTCATACCACGGAAGCGGCAAGGGAGCTCCCATTTCCCATAAATTCACTTGCAGAACTTTCAACTGTCTGAAGAATCATTAGTTAAGGAATCTTAGGAATGAAGATCTATAAACTTCTCTTCCCTTGGACAAAAAGATGAACATACGTACCAGTCTAAGAATCTGATGAGATCTGGAGCTCACTTCATTCAGTGCTGTCTCCCCTATTTGCCTTTGAGCTGAAATATCCAATCAATTTTATGATAACTTAGCAGTCAGCTCTGGCTGGGCAAAAACTCAATTTGTAATGAGAAATTAAACAACAAAAAAATGGATAGAGAGCAAACCTCCTTAGTCCTTACCTTCACAGAAAAAAATTAGTTCTTGAAAATGGTTCCAGTTCCTTACAGCTTCCTCCGTGAGTCTCTCAACAACTGTCCCTTTCTGTTTAACTTACAAACTGTTAGTACAATATAGAAGCACCAGCTTTTTTAAAAATCTGATAAAGATATTTACCTCTGGATCATCAAGAAGTCTAAGAGGTGTACTGTCAACGCTTAGGAGATCCCTGACAGATTCATTATAGATCTCCAATGCCGAAAACTTCAACACAAAATCCCTTTCCGTGTGCTGTGAAAGATAAAAAATGCAATCAATATAGGGTTTTGACAATGAAAAGGTAATGCATTGATTAATCGATGAGTTCATATTTCATTTACCTTTTCAATGTAGTTGAAAATATCTGCTACAGCGTACTCTGTTATACCACTCATGGTGTATGTTTTTCCGCTGCTTGTTTGTCCATATGCAAAAATGCTTGCTGATCAAATAGTTAATCAAAGACCAAATAAGCCAAAATAGAAATTCCAAGGAAGTTTATTCTTATGAAGGAAGAAAGGCGATAAAGGGAAAACAAACTCACAGTTGATGCCACCTAGAACTGAAAGAGCAACTTCCTTAGCTGCTTCTTCGTACACCTGCCTTGTGTCGCTGTCAACACTAAATACTCGATCTGCAGCAAAAAATAAAAATAAAAAATCAAGGTGGATGAAGAGAGGGAGTCAATTTCAGCTTTTAACCCATGTGGATTTAATGGAATTAAAGCCGTGAGTATGGTCTTAATAGAATCGTTTAAATGGCCAAAACAATGAACCGCCTTCTATTTCCATGAATAGAAACGACCAGATTTATGACATTTTAATATAACTTTGACTAAACAAAGATCCCAAAGAGCCTTTGATGTAAAACCCCGAAAAATTTCATCAACTTGCGTCACCAACATCAATTATGATGAATTCCAACCACATTCTCCAAGTTAATTCATTTGGCCTTATCGTATAAATGAAAACCATTCAAAACACCCAACAATTTCACAACGCAGGTAGCTTTGTATGAAGCAAATTAAATTAAGCCAGTGCTTCCTCTAACTTATTTTTCAATCAAAAATGTTTTCAGCCCAAAGCATTCTGCATCTCGATTATAAGCATTTCATACATAAACCTAACATCAGCAAATCTACGCATGGATTCGTAAGTTTAGCCTCTTCGTACCAAATGTATAAGCTGTTGGATACAGGGACCTTTCTGTAGCTGAAAGGTTGCTCCTGTACATGATGGTTGTGCCATTAATGCATTCCCATTCAGACAGATCATTTCTTGAGAGCTCCTTTTCATTCAAAGGTCTCACACGAACAGACACAAGAATCCTCTCCTCACTGCCTGCTGAGCCTTGCATTGCCTCCTCTGCAATGGAACCCATTTCCTCTACTTTCTCTCTAAAACTTCAATGCCCCCAGTTTGACAACGAGGACATGTCCCGAATTCAAAGTACCCCAAAAGACCACTTCGACGTTCTGTTATTTTATTACTTTTTTAGTTGTTTTCTGAATCTTGTTTTGTACTATTGCTGGGATGGTATGGAACACAAGGGCCACCAAAGCTTTCAACCCCCAATCATTATCTGCGGCTACAAAATAATCAAAGGTTACGACTCCATAAACAAGAAATAAAAATAAAAAGAATGATTTTGTTCTACGCAGTTTCAAATATAAAATTTTCCAGAGAGGGGCCAAAAGTAATATTGACCAGCGTATGCTCCCATAATTTTACACAAAAAATACGGTGCTCTACGTATTCTAATGGAAAAATTGGAGTTTTCTGGGATGTTCCCCAAGACACAGAACAGACTGTCAAATTCTCCCTCACATGGAACATTGAACTTTTAGAATTAGTTTTAGAGAGTTACCAACGGCGACAAAGACTGGGGAGTCAAGTTTTGCAGGAAATTCTTCACCAACTTGGTGCGCTGAGAAATATAGGAATAAAATATCCGAAATGGTATTGCCAGTAGAAAAGAAAATTTTGAATGGACGTAATTATCTTACTAAACTTCCCAGTTATTTCTCTTGTGTAGAATTGTCTTTTTGTTCTCCTAAATGTAGCATGTAAAAGATAATCCAAACAAAAATGACATAAATTAGAAACGATTTTATATTAAAAATAAAACCATAATAGAAAAGTGCCTCATAGCTGAACCGTTAATCAGACGCAAATTTTGCCGTGTTTAAGAAGAAACGGTTAAAATTGGAACTAGATGTCCCGAATTAATATCCGAGCTTCATTCGGATAATAAACATTAATCTATTGTTATGTTATGGATCAAACACAAGGAAATTCACATTTTCAGAACAAACAAAACTCTAGATAAAATATACAATAAATAAATAAAAATTATCACAAATACTAACAAATCAATAAAGACAACAATAATCTGAATGATGATAACATTCATAAGCCTTAAGCAAACAACAACGGAGAAGGCTTTTAGCCTCGGAAGTGTGAAACAAATACAATGCAGAAATTGAAAGACGACTTCCGAAAAGGATCAATTGAAAAGCGAAACAAAATGAAAAAGAAAACGTGGAAGCATTTCTTCACCTGCGCAAACGCAATCTGAAATCGAACAGTAAGAGAAGAAGGTGACGAAAGGAAAATCGAAGTTGAGAATTGTTGAGCTGCAGCAAGATGCGTAGTTAAAGAAAAGAAAGGAAAACGGTGAAAGCATGAAAATGGTGAGAATGTGCTTTTGAAACAATGAGGAGAAGATATAGCGTCTCCCTCTTAATTTGTTAGTTGCAGTTCACTCTACATTTTTCACCCTTTTTTTTCTTTCTTTCTTTTTTTTTTCAAACAAATTTAACGACCGCGCTATAAACAAACTCTCATCTCTCACACATCACAGTCGCAGGAAATTACCAACCTACCCACCACACTGTTCCACAGTACCCGATCCGTTCCTAACGCCTATAATTTCAGAATAACATCCCAACAAAACTAAGTTGTTAATATAAAGATTAAAACCTTCTATAATATATTACATTGTTTATTTTGCTGGAAATTGTAAATAACTTCTAATGACAACCGAAAAGGAAAAGTTGTATGCAATATTTAAATATATGAATGGCAATGAATGCAGATAATGCAGTGTGAATGAAGTGAAGGATTCAATTATGCAGGAAGAGAACATAAACAAATGGGTGAAACACATGCACGTGGTACCTTCTTTTTCCAACTTTTGCAGGCTCAGTCGTTGACGTGTGTGTATGAAAAAAGATAACCAGTATACTACGGCACTACATTTACCACCAATACAATTTGAACTTCAACGCTATGCTTTTCGTACAAAATCTTTTCGTGTTTTATTTTTACGTTCATTTTCAAACCCAAGAAAGGTACCAAAAAACTAATAATTGAATCAAAATTTGATACAACACATGCATTGGAGATTTCCTTACTCAAAAATTACCATATGAGATTTCCTTACTTAAAAATTACCATATTCCTATCCACTTCAATAGATATACTAGAAATAATCATCCAATAAAATTCATTAAATATTTTTCTTCTAAAATAGTCTAAATCTAAATTTATTGAAATAATATTCATCTACCATAACTAATATTAAAAAATTGGTATTATAATTGTTATTTATGATTATGTTATTATTAAACTACTTTCTTATTATATTTGAGGATGTATTATTCTAAAGATAAACATAGGTCACCGTCCATATGAATACTATAAATATGAATACTATAAATATAATTAGTATTTTTTAAATAATATTCACCTCATAATTACTTATACTTGTTATTTGGATGTTGAGTTTAGGGTACACATAGAAGGGGCTAAGATCCAAAAACTGCTCCATCATCGAACATTAGAAAAGAAACTCGTACATTGTTCCACTACGCCACTTAATACTTTCAAAATTACTTGTAGTTATATTTATTAGAAATATTATACAAATTATAATAACATTTTAAGAAAAATATTACTACAAATAATAAATATATATAGAGAGAGATAGATATTCTACTATTTTTTATTTATATATGCTTTTAAACTTTATTATAATTTCCATCTTATTTAATCCAATTTCATCCCTATATTACTGAAGCACACATGAATACGTTCATCCCCGTCTTAATAGCTTACAGTAGTTATAGAAGTAATGGGTATTTATATCATGTTATGTTATGTTATGAATATGGTAGACAGTCATTATTAATGTTTCCATGCTACTCGGCTTCACCATAAATTCATGTTCCTAACATAGCTTATATTAATATAGCGTAATAATGTCATAATTATTTATTATACTACTTATGCACCTATGAATTTCGACTTTAATTCTCATATTCTTTATAATATTGGCCTTCTGAAAAATTAAATAAATATGATTATATTTATTTTTTATCATTTTGAATAATATATAGATCCGTTTGAAAAGATTCATTCTTCTTTAGTGGGAAGTGGAATTGTGAGGTAGATGTACAGACACTTACGTTTAAATCAATAAATTTTCAAATATAGTAAAGACAGTAATAAATAAATGAGTGAATAATTTTACCTCATAAATAATGTACCATTTTATACATATTTCATGAATATTTAAGTAAGTGAGTATAAGCCAAGTAAGTAATCATGATTATCTTATTGATACCCTTAAATATAGGCTAAGATGATTTTCATTGTCAAGAATGACATCATCTCGATCTTATCCTGTATAGTTTTTAAATAATTTGTAGAAATATTAAAATTTAACTAAATATATTAAATCTTACTAGTAATTTGTTTCCGTTATGATAAAAATCAATATTAATATACATATTTTTTGGGTTTGTTAAAACAAAGTTTATTTTCTATAATTTATTTACATTAGTAGTATTTTTATAACGTTGTCTTTATTAAAAGTTTTTAGTAATATTTTTATAATTTTATTTTAAATATTTACATTAGTAATATTTTTATAATATTGTCTTTACTAAAACCAAATTTTCGTCAAAATTTGTAGTACCATTTCTAGAATGTTATTTTATTAAAAAAACTTTACAATTTTTTTAAATAAATGTTATAATTCCATTTTTTATCAAAAATGTTACTGGCAAATTTTACCAATATTTTTAAAACTTTATTTTTCTATTAAATTTTTTACTCAACTTGTAATAATACTTTTACAAATATTTTTATTAATATGTAAAATGTTACTCAAAATTATTTAGTTAGTTAGGTTAGTGTGTGTCATATATGTAGTAGATTCCAAATTAATATTAATATAAGGCTCAAACATGTGTGAGGATGTACCAAAATAAATTGTTAATTCTTTTGAAGAATCTGGCATGTTGTGTGGAATCCTTTCTCTTCATGTTTCTCCTATGTACGAATTCTCAGCAATGTTTCTAAGTGAGGCTAAGAAATTACAATGACTAATTACATAAATCTATATGAAAAAAAGAAGATCATGTTAGTAATTTTACCAATATAATTTTGAATCATCTATATAAATTAATAAATGAGATTATTACATAAATAAAATATATTTTTTAAATATTTAAAGCGAAATATTTTGACCAAAAGTAAGCAAAATATAAACAAACAATAGAATTGTCTAAATAAGTTCTAATTGTTACTTGCATGGATTTTATTTATTTTTATGTTTTCTTAAAACATGAATAGGTTGAAAGGAAGACTAGAGGTAAGATCATTATCATTCTACTACATATAATAGTTTCACATTATTTAATAATCAAGATAAAATGTAATTAAATATTTTTTTCTTCTCTCATTTTTTGATATATTTTTTAAAAACTAATTCATAACAAACTAAGTTCTAAAATAGATAATATCTTATATATATAATAATTAACTTTAATAATATTATTCGAAACAATCAATATATATTCAAATTATAATTCTTTGGAATTGCTTCAACTTTCCACGGTAAAAAGAGATATGAAATTTTAAAGTGGAATGAAATATTGCTTAATGTGATGGGTGGTGAATTGCATGGTTGTTTTTCACATTATTCTGACAAGCATCTTTTAAGCGTATATGGAAGATGTTGGTTTTGTTTTTTATTAGTGTGTGAATATTGATACTGATCATAAATAAAATTATGTCAGTTGTTATTTCGAAATCTAAAACCCTTGAAAGCCAAAAGATGGCTTGAGTAATTAGTTAAATGGTTTCATTAACACTGATTTGTAGCCTAACTTATAATTACTATTGGCCTTTTGAGGCTGTAGTTTCTTGGTTAAATAAGCGTATATAATCTCTAATCAATAATGCATATACATTGACATTTGAATTGTATTTTATTTCACACTAGCCGGGTGGTGCTGTTTTTCATTTCTTTATAAGTAATTTATTGTTAAAAAATAGTAAAAATTATAATCTCATATATATATATATATATATATATATATATATATATATATATATAATATAAAGTAAACCATAAGATAAAAGATCAATATACCAACAACAAAATGAGCACATATTAATCTCATGATTAAGATATAACTTTTAACAAGTACAAAGTACCATTGAAATTACAAACTTCGCTCTAAAACAAAATGTTATTTTGCATAATATTCAACTATATTCCGATGTACCAAATAAGGTACAGAACAAGAACACATGCTTCACTTTTTTATGATACACGACTGTTCAAGGCCTGATTTTTGGGTCTTTAACCTGCTAGGGATAGGGTTTAAAAATATGAAAAAATCACATGAATTTGACCTAAGTAGTAGTGTTCTTTTTCTACTTTCAATTTTTTTTTTAAGTTCACACAATAAATAGTTAATATATTTGTTAAAATATATTGGGATATAAAAAATAAAAAATAAAAAAAATAATACAGAACAATTTGAGAGATAGAAAATCTTATTTAATAACTTCATGAATAAATACATAGATGTAAATCTAAATAAGATTATATCTAGATCTTAATTTAAAAGTTTGCGTTTAAGTTTTATGAAATGTAGCTAAAAAAGGTACTTCCACGGAAAATTAATCTAATATATTATCTACTTGAAATTAATCACGAGAATAGTAACCATAAATATAATGATTATAAAAAATTAGTCAATAAATCATTTTAAAGTCAATAAATCATTTTAAAGTTCAACTTTCTAATTAAAATATAATAATATAGTTTCTACAGTTAACGGATAACAAAATCAAGTTTTCGGATCATGCACTCAAAGTCCATCTTTTATCTATTAACAAATTCAAATTTCCACTGGTTTTTTCGAAACGTTTTTATTATATTTCTCATTATGTTATTTGATAATGTCTAGTCTATCTCGTAATAAATCCAGTAAGTATTCAAATATTTGCCATACATTTATTAGTAAAGGTACTTTTAATAAATTGAAGACCATATCAACGGTCTTCCTTCTTGCAAATAATATGTATTCAAGTCAAAGAAAATTTAGATCCCAATAAATTCAATGTCAAATAGCCACTCCAAAGCATACGCCTGATTGTTTTCTCCAATCATATCTTCATAACTCTAAATACTCCAATTGTTATAACCTTTCCTCTAATATTTCAACCCCTCACAAATTAGTTATTTCTAGTATAACAAGTATACCCTATCTCCATATTAGATCAAGAACAAGGTTAGAAGGATAAAAAATTGTTAATTCATATAAAGTCATTCAATCGGCCAAACTATTATATATATTGTTTCAATTATAAGTTCGTTGAGTGACATTATTATGGTCAATTATCACATATGATGTTCTTAAAAATAACATTAGAGGGTTGATGGAAGAAATAGTATTTGAATTATCTTTGGTCTCAATTTCTAAGCAATGTGAGACTCTTGGGTATACCAAAACAAGCCCCTCAATCAATGACTAGGAGATTTTTCATCCCGAACAGTGACAATGTTCTGATCCCAAGCCCGTCAAGTGACATTATTAAGATCAAT